GGCTCCTTTGGGGCCCCCGGTGCCAGCCCGGTGGGAAGGTCACCCCTGGAGCTCTGGGATGCTGAGGGGGTTCCTCCTCTGCTGCTCCCTCGTCCAAGTCTCGAGTCTTATCCTTGGGCTCTGCCTGGAAAAGCAGCGGCGCTTGGAGGGGGGAAGAAGTGTTGGAGCCTCCCTGAGCTCCCACTGCTCCCACCCTGGGGGTCCTGGCTGCCACCCACCAGCCCTTGGGAGGGATTCCCAGCCTCAGAAATCCCTCCTTTTTCCTTCAGCTAAATATTCCAAGGCCAGGGGGGAAACTGGGAGGTGGTGAAAGGCCGGGTCAGGACACGGGGGAGGGAAGAGCCAAGGCGGGACTGGGAGAGAAGGGGAAGGGGCTGGAGCAGCAGGAGGGGCTGAGGGAGCTGGGGGGGCTCAGCCTGGAGAAAAGGAGGCTCAGGGGGGACCTTCTGGGTCCCTAAAATTCCCTGGAATGAGGTTAGAGCTGGAGAGCTTGGGCTCTGCTCCCAGGGAACGAGGGACAGGAGGAGAGGGAACGGCCTCCAGCTGTGCCAGGGGAGGGTCAGGTTGGATATTGGGAAAATTCCTTCCTGGAAAGGTCTGCCCAGCCCTGGCACAGCTGCCCAGGGCAGGGGGGAGTCCCCATCCCTGGGGGGATTTAAAAATCCCCGTGGATGTGGCACTCGGGGACACGGCCAGGGGTGGGGAACAATTGGACTCGGGGCTCTCGGGGGCCTTTTCCCACCTAAATTTTCCAATTCCGTGGAGCATTAGAAGCCCAGGCTCCTCCTGGACACCCGTGTGGGTGGTGCCCTGGAGGAGCCCATCCCAAGGGGGGATCCCATCCCAAGGGGGGATCCCGGGATGCCCACCCTTGGCTGCCTTGCCCTGGCAGGGGGGGGTGACGGACGACAGGAGCGACGACGGGAGAGGAGCGGCCCCGCTGAGCCTGGGGGTCAACAGACCCACCATCTCCTGCATCTTCGACTGTGAGAGCCCAAAAAGGGGGAAAGGGGGGAGGGAAAAGCATTCCCGGGCTCTTCCTGGCGCCCACGTGGGAAGCAGGTGGATGGGAGGAGGGTGGAGGGGCGGGAGGGGACATGGATTTGGGAACGTGACGCACTCGGGGCTCGGGGCTGGGGGGACTGAGCCAGGGGGGTGGGAAACATTCCCTGGCTCATCCCTGACGTGGTTCCCATCCCTCTGGCAGGTGGGAACAGGTACCACCTGCGCTGTTACCTGTACCAGGCACGGGATCTGCTGCCCATGGACAAGGACAGCTTCTCGGGTGAGCCCTTCCCATCCCTCTGCATCCTGGGGCTGGAAAACTTAGCCAGGGACACCTCCCACTAGCCCAGGTTGCTCCAACCTGGCCTTGGACACTTCCAGGGATCCAGGGGCAGTCACAGCTTCTCTGGGAATTCCATCCCAGCCCCTCACTGCCCTCCCACAGAAGAATTTCTTCCCAATATCCCATTTAAATCTCCCCTTTTCCAGTGTGAAGCCATTCCCTGTGTGCTGTCCCTCCCTCCCTTGTCCCCAGTCCTTCTCCAGCTCTCCTGGAGCCCCTTCAGGCCCTGCCAGGGGCTCTCAGCTCTCCCTGGAGCCTTCTCTTCTCCAGGGGAACCCCCCCAGCTCTCCCAGCCTGGCTCCAGAGCAGAGGGGCTCCAGAATCCTGGGATGGGTTGGGTTGGAAGGGATTTTAAAGGCCATTCATTTCCACCCCCATGGGCAGGGACAGTTTCCACTATTCCCAGTTTGCTCCAAGCCCTGTCCAGTGTGTCCTTGGACACTTCCAGGGATCCAGGAGCAGCCACAGCTTCTCTGGGAATTCTATTCCAGTCCCTTCCCACCCTCCCAGCCAGGAATTTCTTCCCAGTATCCCATCTCTCCCTGCCCTCTGGCCCTGGGAAGCCATTCCCTGTGTCCTGTCCCTCCATCCCTTGTCCCCAGTCCCTCTCCAGCTCTCCTGGAGCCCCTTCAGGCCCTGCCAGGGGCTCTCAGCTCTGCCTGGAGCCTCCTCTCCTCCAGGCTGGATGTGATGGAGCACAGGCAGAAACCTCCAGGAGATGTGCTCAGGAAAATTCCAGAGGGTGGGAGGACATAATCGGGACCTCAGGGCAGATGGATCTTCTCTCCCAGTGTCCTGGTGCCATTCCTGGTTGGATTTGGCCTGGTGGGAGGTGCCCCTGCCCACGGGCTTGGAGCTGCACGATCTCTAAGGTCCCTTCCAGCCCAAACCAGCCAGGAATTCCATGATTCCGTGATGATCCTGGGATTTTAGGATCATTTTGGTTGCAGCAGAGGCTGAAGTGTGGCCGTGGAGGGGCAGGACGTGCCAGGAATTGTCCCTGGGGTTTGGCCTGGGCAGGGATCAACCCCTGGCAGCTGGAGGGTCCCACATCCTCATTGCCATGGGCTGGGAATTGCCTTGGCTCCCTCCCACTTATTCCTTGGAGTGTCACTTGGAGGTGGAAAAACAGGAAAAGGGGATGTTACCGTGTGATTTTGAGGGAAAAGCAGGAAAAGGGGATGGCAGGGCCTGATTTTGAGGTGGAAAAGTGGGAAAAGGGGATGTCAGGGTCTGATTTTGAGGTGGAAATTGGGAAAAGGGGATACCAGTGTTTGATTTTGAGGTGGAAAAGCAGGAAAAGGGGATGTCAGGGTCTGATTTTGAGGCAGAAAAGTGGGAAGAGGGGATGTCAGTGCCCCTGGATGAGAGCTGGAGCTGGGACAATCCGGAATGTCCCCTCAGGTCACTGCTGTGTGCTGGGATCACACCCGAGCTGGGACCAAATCCCGGGAAAGGTGCCCCTGGAGCCCCCACCCCCCTGCACAGGGATCCCTCAGGCACCCAGCATCCCTCCAGGGCTGTCCCTGCCCACTTCCATGGGGATTTTCCGAGGGATTTTCCTGGACCTGCCCCCCAGTGTTGTGCCAGGGGTGGTGGATCCCGGGTGGGATCCAGGGACATCCCGAAAAGGGGGGTGGGACCCCCCTGGGGAGCAGCTGGTGGGACATCCCCAGTCCAGGCAGCAGGACCAGGATCCCAGTGGGATCCTGCTTCTCCCAGGCTTTGGAAAAGAGGGATTTTTGGGGAAGAAATGCCCTGGAGGGGGCAGAGCACCCAGACAACCCCCCCGGTGTCTGTGCCCACCTCCATGGGGGGAGCAGGGGCAGCTCCTGCTCCAGGAATCCCTTCCCTTGGAAAATCCCGGCCAAGGCCACCGTGGCACAAAGTGGGAATGTGATCCCAGTGCCTGGACAGAGCAGGAGGGAGGTCATGGAGCACGGGGGGGGGCTTTGCACGGCCCCAAAAATAACCCCGGAGTGCAGCTCCCAACAAAGGGCCTTGGAGAGCTTTCCCTGGAAAAGCAGGAGAAGCGAAAAAAAGCCAATCCAGATCCAGGGTTTTTTTTGTTTATTGGAACCAATTGTGCTTTGCTCCAGCTGGAAAAAAGTGTGTCAGTGGGAAAGGTCCTTCCCAGCGGGAATGGCCCGGCTCCTTAACCACGGGAGCCAGGCGGGAATCCAGCCCCCAAATCCAGCCTCAATTCCTTGGGAAAGCAGGGGAGGAGGGGGAATGCTGGCCTGCTCGGCTGGCCCTGCAGCCAGGGGGGTGGGGGATCTTCCTGGGACCTGAATCCAGGGATTTAGGGGGTGTTCCTGGGACCCGAATCCAGGGATTTAGGGGGTGTTCCTGGGACCCGAATCCAGGGATTTAGG